CTACTAGGAGTAGGAACGCTAGTAGGGGCTCCTGGCATCGAAGAATAGTATTAGGGGCTCCTGGCATCGCTACTAGGCTACTGGGGGGTCCTGGCATCGCTACTAGGAGCAAGAACGCTACTAGGGGCTCCTGGCATCGCTACTAGGAGCAGGAACGCTGCTGTAGGGGCTCCTGGCATCGCTACTAGGAGCAGGAACGCTACTATATAGGGGCTCCTGGCATCGCTACTAGGAGCAGGAACGCTACTATAGGGGCTCCTGGCATCGCTACTATTAGCAGGAACGCTGCTAGGGGCTCCTGGCATCGCTACTAGGAGCAAGAACGCTACTTCTCTGAGTTCTGAAACACCCTTTGCCTTGTCTTAGCTCGGTCGCAGCTGTGCCCAGAGCTGACCTCTAAGCATGCTGCGCTGGAAGAAGACTTCCAACCTGGCTGCACCGACAAAGGGATGCGTCAATCAATCACTCAATCAATCTACCTATCTATATATCATTAGCTATTTATATGTTTTATAATTTATCAATCAATCACGGAAACTGAGCCACCATGCCGATGCCAGAAACTCCAGAACCCGCGAGTCGCCACTCCCCGAGGAGGTGCAGCAGGTGCAGAGACGGCCAAACCTGACATGCAAGTACTAAGCAAATGCATTTTATTCTTTGGCCCGTGGCCCTGCCTCCTTACTTGATTATAAGTAGGCGCCTACTTGATTAAGGGAAAAGTTCGCTCCTAGCTAATATATAGTTAGCTTCGAGTAATCGGACGCAGGATAGCTCACGCACTATATAATGAGGTGGTTCCTAGATGTTTTTTGGAAATTGTCTTCAAGCATTCTGGTGAACAATATATAGACCTTGACAACCCCCTCTAGCCTAGCGACCTGTCTCATTCAAAAACAGGTGGGGCAGCAAGAAGTCCTATTTTTGACTGCATGTTGGCGATTGCATTTCTGGGCAGCTGCCCTGCAGCCAAGGCCACCCCACAAATTACACTGTCAACACACAGGTTGCCATGATGTAATTATGATTTATGATAAACAACAATAAAGGGAACTAAAAATATAAAGCAAAAAATTTGAAAGCGATGGCCTCCAACCTAATAGCAATGGCCTCCAACCTAGAAGCAATGGCCTCCAACTTTCTGACCAGGAAAAGTGGGACAAAGAAGGCGAATGGAAAGGGGTGAACCGTTTTGTACCTGCTAAGGATGTCTCTTTTAGATGCAATCAAAGAGATTGCCGGTGTTCAATGACAAAGAGTGCTGCTTGCAGCTAAGCAGGCAGCTCTCGCCACTCAACAAGCTTCCAGCCACAAACATGTTCAGCCTGCAGCAATGACATGACTTGCAGGAACTCGAGGCGCCTGGCATAGATATGCCGGAGGGGGGGTGCAGGCCCTAGGAGGCTAGTAGCTACTAAGTAGATATGAGTGGAAAGGAAGCTACTAGATGCAGTGACGCAGAAAAGGTCAGGGATCTTGAGGGAAACTCCCCCGCCCTCAGGCTGCATCCTTCGCATGATAAATTCAGGTTGTTGGGAAGCCATAATCTTATTTGTTCAGTGTACGTGATATATATATTTTTTACGTTGTATGTATTAAATATATTATGTCTATATACTATATATGGTATTATATACAGCATACTATACTTTGTACATATATATAAAACTATGTATACTATACTATATACATATATATTATACTATATATATATATATAAAAAGATGCAGCACTCACCCCTTTGTTCCACTTCGCAGCGGTTTTGTCAACCGGCCAGCCAAGTCTGCCCCCAAGAAAATCCCCATCTTAGGAAAGCTGATTCTGTCTACCCGGCCACTCCCTGGGTAGCAGATATCATCTCGTTTGCCTCGCCTATAGTCGAGCCTAGCCTCCGAGACTGAGGCAAACACAGACTGTGGCCGAAGGAAAAAAGTAAAATTAACTCACTTTTTCTGCCTTTGGAGGTCTTCTTTCCACGCCCCCGAGCTCTTCCGCTATAGGAGGCTCAAGTGTTGAAAATTTTGGATGCGCAATGAAGTTTCTATACACTGTGAGGAAGGGTTTAAGACGTGAGTCACTGGCCGGAAGTTTCATCTGGCTGACAACCGACAACCCCTCATTCAGATATATCCGGGCACTTTTCTGTGTGTGCCATCTCCCTTGGATCAAAATGCAGTCTAGGTTCTGGTGTTTCTGGAACCAAAACGTCGCCCCGCCCCGCCGGAGCGAGTACGGTCTAAAGCCCCACTCGACTCTTGGATGCCTAACTCCTCCAGACACCGATTAAAAAGGGCTTGCCAGCGAGGCGGCGAAGGTGTCACATGGGTTTCGGGGGAAGCAAGGGTCTTCCACAGTCGTAGTACTTTGACCACCGGCTCAAATCCGAGAACCGCACTCTCTGCGGCACCATGCCGCTTTCCACCCTTTGTCATGCCTAAACTAATCAGTGCTTGCAGTGAAGTCGGCCCACATTCAATGTGGGAAGAAAGTATAGACCAAGGATTTCTCCTGTGCGTAGCATCGAGTAGAACCCAACTAGCAGCGAAACTGCGAAAGAGACCCAGCCATTAAAAATTGCCCGCCTGCACATTGCATGCACAATGTGCTCTGCCAAGGGCGGGGCCCGACTCGGGATCTCATTGGTTTGCCATGTACGCAACAGCCGCCATGCTGCTGGTAAATGGTTGCGCAACCCTGGCTGCAAGTCTTGCAAGCCCGTGAGGGTGTCACAGGCCTCGCCCTTCGCCTGTGGACCATAACACCTCCAGGGAGAATCGGATCAAGCTTAGCCTTATCGCTAGGCAGAGTCAAGTTCTCCTTTTTCAGGAAGTCCAGGAATCGGTCAACGGCCTACGTCGTGTTGCTGGGCTGCACAGTCAACTGCCTCAAACTGCCTAAACGCCTACGGATAGCTGCTCTCTCACTTTGCGTCGAACCCTCAAGAACTCTTTTAGGTATTCCTAAAGCGCGTGCGCGCACGGCGACCCCACCGACTGGGTTTGTCAGCGGGGTTGCTGTCCGTGTGGACATACCCCCAGAGGAATTGTGAGTTCGAACACAGGAGAAGAGCGCTAATCTTGGCCATCGTGCTCCGAAGCTTTCTAGAGCTCGTCCGGCCTCTGGTGAGAGCGTGTAGGCAAACAAGCGAATCAGTCAAGTGTATCATGCGACGTTGTATGTGACCTTGATGCTCAAGACGCCAGCGTACAGTATTGAGGATGGCACGTAGCTCCAGAGAATTGATGTGCTCCTTACCATGTACCCATGTCCAGCCGGCCACTATCTTCCATAAATTTCCACAGACGTGAGGGGACTATAAGGCACGCAAACGGTGAAAGCGCACAAGCTGAGTAGTTGGAGTAGACAACAGGATGTCTTCGCCCTTGAGGCTAGTCAAATTCCCTAGGCCAAGTTATAGGCCGATCCTGCAACCGGCCCCACCATCTTCTGCAGCGGCAGTCGAACGAGACGCCCCTGAACTGACTCAAAACCCCTGGAGCCACGGTGCCTTCCAACTCAACCATTCCAGTCGCGGAGACCCTTTCCAGGAGGTCGTAATCCGGTCCACCTATCAAAAAACACGGGCCCCCCCCCTAATAAGAAAACCTCGGTCGCATTTTTTCTGATAGGGGGTCCCTGAAATCGGGGGGTCCAAAATAGGGTCACCTGCGAAGAGCTTGCAAACCAAAAAGTAAATCAGAAAAATTTTATATGAAATCCTTTGTTAAACTCGTATCAAACATGCAAGAAAGCTCCAGATCGAAGGGTCTTCCTTTTCCACTACAAAAACCTTCATTAGACAGGGCGGACAGAGGTGGGCAGTTACGGTTGTTTTTGGAACCTAATTATAAAAACTCCTGCAAGGTCGGCAATGTTGGTAGTTTAGTAGCGGCTTGAAAGGGCGGTAATTTAAAAACAAATATAAACCGTATTTAGGGGTTTCCGACATAACTTTTTTCTAATAGGGGTCCGTTTTTAAATAGGTACTCGGGATTAGTTGTCCAAGTAGACCCTCCATGACGGGTTAGCCACAGTGAATGGTCGGTCCTTCCGTAGTTCCACGGACTCAAGAGCTACCCCCTGTTACCCGACCATTGTACCAGGTTGCGATGCACGTTTTGGGCTAAGCTAACCGAGTTGAGGAACCCCATGGGTAGGACTCTTGAGGCAAGGTAGACAAGCTTTCCTTCCATCTCCTTCGGCAAGCATTCAAGTGGAACAGGCTTATTGAAGGCCAGGTACTCCACCCAGCATTCCGGAACCTTCATGGTGTAAAAGAAACACTTCACATCTTCGGAACTAATGAGCAGGTTTTGATCGGGTTGGATAAAGAAAGGGTTCATCATGCCCCATGGGGGGAGTGTATCCACGTCTCCTCCAAGCGGTTGGCAAATGCCATTGAGAGGGATGAGGTTCATGATGAGGCGCCAAATCTCTACTCCACTTGGGGTCCAATCCTCCTTAGAGAGACCCCAAACAACCCGTTCAGGAGTGGTCCACTCCCGGTTTGAAACACCATGCACTCCTCTAGGTAGCAACAGACACCAGCTTTTACCAAACCAGTGCATAGGTCACCCCAAGCACTGTCCTCAACCATGACTTTCGGTGCCTTGACTGATCCCCAGGAGTCACGTGGTTTGAGGTAAGAATCAAAGGACAACACGTACTCCCGGCAACCAAATGAACGAACCTCCTGAAGGGGGACCAACCCAATTTCCGATGGCAACGCTGGCGCGATGTTCTCCCATTTGCACCGAGCCACGCGGACCTCGTCCCCTGACGCTTGTTCACCTCAGACACCGGTGCAATAGACCTGCCCCACAGGGCATTCAATGACACTCTGACAATTGTATTCAGTTAACTCAGTTCCCAGGTCGAAAATGGTGAGGGAACGGCATGGCGAAAAGTCCAGGAAAGTGTAGGTGTTTTAACAAAATGGTTTTCGCACGTGACTGCGGAAAGCGCACAGCGGCAAAGCGGCTGCAGGTCTGCGGTGGGAAACCTGTTTGGGGGGAAGTAGCATGAAGGACAATGAACCAAAACGTGGAAAGTGGTGTCACAGCTTGTCAACGCCACAAAAAAGCAGGTGCGTTCAGAGAGCGTCCTCTCCGAATATCACATCCGATCAGCAGTGTCTTTGTTAGGCAGTGACTGCTGAAGGGATCACTGCCCCCCTGCATTCAAAACTCTTAGTTACAGAGGTGGAACCCTTAGATACAGGGGGTGACACACACAAACCGCCGATTCCGGCGCAAGTGTGTAGAACGTTGAAGGTGGAACTTTGTACAGAAAGCGCCAATATTGGCGCTGTGAAAAATTAATAGCCACCTAAAAAGCCTTAGAAAGACAAACAAAGCAAACAAAACAAAAGCAGACTAAGAGGGCAAGAAAGAAAGATAGGGGTAGTTACGAGGCCCACTTAGTTAAATGAAAGTAGAGCGCGAGCGGGACATTTGTCTTAAACCGCCCGGGTAGCTAGCAATAGGCTAGGAGAAACAGAAGGAAAGGCACCAACACACAAGTGTGTTGAGTGCGATTTCCTTCTGTTTCCCGAGTATCGGGTGGGGTAGCAACGGAGGCCCAGGGGTAGGGAGGGGAAAAATGCACGATTAATTCGTCCGGCCTGTGAATACTTAGCAGCACATGCACATGTGAATACTTAGCCGTTGCAAGCGTTTCGAAACTGTCAGTTCCCGCGTTAAGGCCCGGCGGCCGTTGTGGCAGTTAATTCGGTGGATGTGGAGGTGACTTCCAGTGGAGTTCCTGTGAACGGTGGTGAGAGCAGTTATGCGGAAAAACAAGCAGAAAAATGCAAACGCTGCAAACGCTTCAACACTGTCAGTTCCCGTGGTGAGGCCCGGCAGCCGTTGTGGCAGTTAATTCGGAGGTTGTGGAGGTGACTTCCAGTGGAGTTCCTGTGAAAAGTGGTGAGGTCAGTTAGCGGAACGGCGTGGCGAAAAGTCCAGGAAAGTGTAGGTGTTTTAACAAAATGGTTTTCGCACGTGACTGCGGAAAGCGCACAGCGGCAAAGCGGCTGCAGGTCTGCGGTGGGAAACCTGTGTTTGGGGGGAAGTAGCATGAAGGACAATGAACCAAAACGTGGAAAGTGGTGTCACAGCTTGTCAACGCCACAAAAAAGCAGGTACGTTCAGAGAGCGTCCTCTCCGAATATCACATCCGATCAGCAGTGTAGTGTCTTTGTTAGGCAGTGACTGCTGAAGGGATCACTGCCCCCCTGCATTCAAAACTCTTAGTTACAGAGGTGGAACCCTTAGATACAGGGGGTGACACACACACAAGCAACCCACGAAGCAATGTCCTCACTTACATTGTCCCACAGTCCTTTCAAAAAGGTGATGGAG